ATTTGCAGTCAAAACAGCGGTGGCAGGTGTGAAACAGTCGCGCATATAATGATGATGCGGCCAGTTTACATGCGAAATAAAAATAATGAGTTAATTTCCAGTATTCCACATTCCACAAATAAGAAATAAATGTGTGATTGGTTCCCATGCAATAAAATTCAAAAATAACCTTTTTTTTGTTCAAGAAAATTATAAACATCCCCAGTTTAATATAAGTAAAAGCTTAAATGAGAAATTGTTTGCTAAGAAGAATTGGGAAATAACGACCGGAAGCGGACATGAGAGCGGATTCAATTTAGCAAGTCAGTTTCTTGTGCTGCGCAGCCCACGTTGCAGCGATGTAGACCTCGTCGCTGCAGTGCGCCGAGAGCTTAACGGCCATCGTTAGTGCAATGATGTTAACAAATGCTACCCATGAGATATATTAAAATTTTTTATTTTCTTCATACGTTTGAGTTTTAAAATTTAATTAAAACAATCTAATAAATAATAAATTAAAATCAAGTTTACACTAAAAATTACAACGATCATATCGTTGGTTGTTATCTATTTATGAAATCTTCCTTAAGAATTTAGTGGATTTTCAGTTTCTACTAACATTATTTTTTATTATTTATTTATATAAATTTTTAACTTAGAAATCTGACCTATTTTGTAAGATTTTCAAATTCATTTACATTTCCGACCGTTCAAACGCACTCTTTTGGTGATTCAAATTGTGAGCATAATTCAAGAAACTTAAATTCTGCCGCTGCCTTACTTTTAGAGCAATAACTGCCATAGCTATTGCTTCGCTTTTTTATGGAAATTCGTTCATGCGATGTCAGCAACGCGCGTCTAATTAGCAAGAATTTCAAGCATCCGCACGACTGTTGTTACCAGAAGTTCAGAGTACCAAGATTGGCGCAGAGAGGCGCGGGTTCGATCCCAGCTCTGTGCGCCAGTTTCTGGTCAGAATCGGCGAGGATGCCGGGCGGTAAAGCAAAGCAAAATTATAGCAGTGAGTTGCGAGTTCGAGACCGCAAAATGATGAGAATGTTCTGCGATGTTAAGAATCGGCGACAGGCCTACGGCCTACTAAACGCTGAATCCGCTATTATTATTTTATTATTAAAGGCGATATTTCATACCAAATACTTGTCTTTGAAGGAGAGGCTCGATCAACCGCAACTGGAAGGCAACGTTTACGCATCGTGTGTTTCCGCTTGATTATAGGAACGCAAACGACAAAAATGTAATTAAAAAAAATGCAAGTAATTCAAAAAAATTCAAAGCATAAATGCCGAATTTTATGTCATTTGTGAATACACTTCGCCTTCATCACAAAATATTTTGGATTTGAAATACAATTCAGGAAGAGGAGTCATTATCTCCTGACTCAGCAGTCAGGACCTTTTGTTGCAGCGCTGTAATAAGCAAGGACTTTGTCTTCAGGCAACTCGCCTAGAAGACTGCAGCTCGACATTTTTGAACTCCGGATACGGGACAAAGATCCTGCAAAGTATAGTCCCCTTTGAAACTTTGTCATAAAAGCAATTATGAACATTTTTTAGATTTTGCCATTTCAACAGCCGCTTTTTGATACAGTAAAAGAAATCAGAAAGATCAGTTGATAAAGAAATTAGGATGTCGATAGTCATCTTGAAACTCCGGGTTAATTAAAATTGAGTTAGGCAAAAATTATTGAAGATTCAATCATGGTGAATGGGCCGACTTTCGACGTAAATAATAAGTTACGAATTATCGGTAGAGACATTCAACATGTCTCTAAATGCTTTCTAAATTTAAATGCTTCCACTGTAAATAAGGAATTCACAATTCACAAATTCTACGCAGTTGCCGCGAACTAATTAAAAAGATCCGTAAGGGAAGTTTGGCTTGGACAACTCCGGCAATTTATGAGCTGTTTCCGGGGACCAAGTACACGCGCCGAGGAGGTGTTTTCACTATGCGCCCCAAAAACGCGGACGTACGCAAAGTTGTTGATGACCGGGGATCGAATCACAGCGCTTCAGTCGTGTGGAAAGAAAAAATGCAGATTGCTTTTAGCTGCGATGCAGAGGCAGGGAAACACGCGCGCTGTCGCCAGGCTGTCTCAGGTCTTGCTTGGATAACATAGTGCAGGGATTGCCTATCAGGCTCGCCGCTGTGTTGTTTTCGCGAAAAATCTACGGAAAACTCCTTGAAAATCACGTTTGGTCTAAAAAAGTAAGAAATCTCTTTTGAACAACAACAATTTGAGCTTTTAATGAGTAGATAAATAATTGATCTTAAAGAAATCAAGCATGTGAAGCATGAAGAAGATGATTCGACTTATTCATCATTATCGATCGTGTTGTTGATTACAAGTCAATCCTCCATCATCCAAGGCGTGCACCGCGAACGCCGTATTTACATTTAAGCTGAACTAAGTGAACTATTTCCTCAGTTTCGCCGAGCTTTTCGCACGAGCAACCAAAGAGCGTCCACTTCCAGTCCCCGGGCGCAGCTTTAATTTAGCTGTCACTTCACCTCCAGCCTCGGCACCCGACATAATACTGCGTAGCTCCAGCGCTGTCTCGCTTGTCGCTTCAAAAAGAAGGCATAAGTGTGCAGAACACTGAAGTTTTCTGCTAAGTGAAAATCTGCTTAGTGCTTAGCGAAAATCAAATTCAGACCTTAACTTGGTCGTACATAGCAGTAATTAAAATGAACATTGCCCTAAAGTAATTAAAGAGCCTTGACGTGTTGATGAAGAAGCCGGACGAGTAAGCGTAGCTGTTGTATATATCGGACGCCATATTGTCCTAACAAAACAGTAATCAGTGCCTTGATGGAAAAACCTAAATGAATGACTTCTGACTGGCGCGCCGCTGTCCGAGGTCAGCTCATTGAAAAGTGGCCGCTTTGAGTGGGAGGAAGTCGCTACCAAACAATCAATTCTTAATATTCATATTTAAATCTGTAACGCATTTTAAATTGACTGTCGGCCAGGACGCCGTTTGAAATGCGTCAGAAAAAAAGTCTATGTAAATCCAATGGGGAATGCACAACATGTAACGTGGATTCTTCATTTATGTGATCATTTATTTTATTGTTCCTCTTTTTTACTTGAAATTTTACCAGTATTTCATTGATGATTAAGATGTCATTAATTGAAATTAAAAAAAAAACTTCATCGAAAAGGTAAATTTTATTCGATTCCTTACTTAATGAAAGAATTCATGAAGCGAGGACTTGAAAAAAAAAATTACCAGGAAAAGTAGATAATAACAACGGTATTCGAATACTTATAGTGAATATTAATTACGAAAAATGTTTCGAAATTATGCTATGAACTCAGAGGGGATTTTCTGAGCTCATTAACTTTTCGGTAGGCGATCAAGGTCACTTCAGAGGCAATCGTTAAAAGTTGGCAGCTATTAGCGGCCTCATTATGAACTCATTCCACAATAAAGTTGTTTTCCAGCTCAGCCTTAACTTGAGCCAAGTTATTTTCATGCCTCATAGTGCCCGCCTCAGAGTGGATCGAGCAAAGTGGATCCTAGTTTTACCTTCTATTACAATTTTTTTACCTCTTCCTATCAAGTCATAATAATACACTTATGATTTCTACCCCTACGCTCACAATAATATCATTTCCCTATCCACTCATAATCAAGACATTCTTCTTCTCTTCCGCCGTACTATACACTATTGAATTCTTCACATCAATTCATATTACGATTTTTAATTCTCCCTTCCATTCACAGTACAAGTACGACTTCTTACCCTCTCATGCAATTATAGATCACAGACCCTAAAGCTTCCGCCGATATATGTGCATGGCTATCATGAGTCACAGAAAATTCATCCCGAGCTTATGATATTTTCTATGAGACCTGAACGAAGGAGTAATTCCTTTAATATTAAAGAAAAAGAATGCCAACTTAGAATTTCACAGCAAAAATGTGCTGTCGTAGTCCGACAACATTTCACCTAGCTTTGGAATGTTATGTATTTGACTCTTCATTGTAGTAACTATGCCATTCAATTTTCGATCGTATCTACTGCTTCGCTTCATTAATACCGCATTTGTTCAGTTCCATAATCGCTTTTAAATTCATTTTTATCCATACATCGTTTAATTAAAACTCATGAATTTTTTGTAAACGTAAAATCCGATCTCTACAAGAAGTCGTGAATTTTGTTTGTGCTCTAAGGACATGGAATCACGCTTGACGGAGGCCCTGCTGGCGCTTGTTCTTCATTTTGTTCCCATTGCATATTCTTCCTATACTTTACTGTAAATAAGTGCGTAACTTCAAACGCCGGAATAAAACAGTCCGCCGTGAGTCATTGAACCATTTGAAATTTTATTTTGAAATTGCGTCGAGGTCTACGCGAATGTTAATAACAGAGTTGCTCATTTATAGTTGACCAATGTTTCAAATATAATAAGCATCTGAAAAGATGGTACTTACAGTATGTTGCTCCCTATTACGCTTGCAGGATATTCATGCAATATCCATAGCAACAATGTTTAGTCTTGAAATACGAAAATTTTCTAATTATAATGGATAAAATTTCTAAATATTTTGAAAAATAAAAACAATCACCTGATGTCAACGGAGATCATTCACTGTGGCATGCAGTCAGGTGGAGGCATGCATTTGTCTGAATTTTAAAAAATGTTTTGTATATAAAACTAGGAACAGCCGCAGATCAACGTTTCATCATTTTAATTCACTTCCAGCAAGGCTGACAAAGACCTCGCCCACAGCCGTTCGCAAGGGTTGGCCTTAGTTTTAATTAGAAGACTGTGAAGATACTTTAACGAAGCGCAATGATTAAATTCTCTATGTTTTCAACCCAATGAAAATTACACTCATGACAATGTTGATTGCTGAGTATTGTAAATGCTACAATAGCTTATAAGAACGTTTAAATCTCGACATTTATTTCTCAATTTAGGAGATATTTAAACATATATAAATGAGAAACAAAAATCCTTGGTTATAAGTAAAAACATGCTCACTTACCCTTAAACGGTCAGAAGGCAGGACAAGGTTCACAGAGAGAGTTCAGGAAGCAGATGTCTGCGTTACCACACTCAATCACAGCCAACTTGCAACTGGCGCCACAGCACAGCTGATCTTCGTCCTGGGTTCCGAGGGAAGATGTGACGCGGGAGTTGCGGGAACTGGAACAGCTTATCTGCGATCTGTGAGAGTGTGACTGGACCGCTACTGAGAACCTCAAGTTCTCAGGCATTGTAGCTTTCTTGCTAGTCGATGCAAATCGCGAAGCAGGAAGTATCTTCCGCGTTTATCGTTGAAAATATTTGCCTGAGATTCACTTCCGTGAAAATTGTACATTATTTTCAGAAAAATGAGACTCGTTCGCATGGAGGACCGTAAGACTTCTGGCTTGTGACACGATGCAAGTTTTGACGAGTTTATACACATCGATTTTCGGAAATACGGAAAGCGTTTAAGTGCAAATTTGCTGTTCATGACCAACGCATAACAAGAGTTGAAATCTAATTTCGTGAAACCGATCATTGAGCATCCAACATGTAGGAGCTTAACAAACATTCAAGAAATTTAGGCTAGAATAAAGTTTAGGATTTTTGTAGATTTCAACAGCTCAGCAGATCTCATTTTTTTAGGAATAGGTCTTCACGTCAAAATGGATACATGATTATTGATCTACCTCCGATTTTGCCCTACAAATAGCATAATAGTCGCTTCAGAGCAGAGTTCCAAAAGTATCTACATCCTCATTTACTCTTTCTAATATTGAATCATAATCATGAAAACAAGTTTCTATACACCACAAAACACCACAATAAGTTTCTATACACCACATTTATATAAAAACTTATTTTCATATACACCACAAAATAAGTTTCTATGCACCACATTTCTATACACCACAAAACTGTTGTGGTGTAGTGAGTGGAAGCGTTAATGTTTTGCATGGACCCCAGACTCCTGCAGGGCCCGGCAGGCGGTCACAAGACAACGTTTTTAGCGCCAGCTGCGCTGTAGTCGATCTACTTTCCGTGCAGACGTAATACTCTACGAATATCATACATTATTAATAATAAAGTACCTAACCTCTCCCTCTTAAAAGAGGGCGAGTTAGGCGCGCACGTTCGATGGGAATATGATGTGCCGCAGCAGGGATGAATCGTGGCCAAAAATTTATACACGTTGACTATCAAGCTTTTATTTTACGAAGGCTCATTTTTCCGTAATTATCAAAGAATTATTGCTTATATTGTAAGTATCGAGGTGATACATCACTATGAATAGATAATATCGAGGAATACCTTGATAAATTTTAGTTTCATCACAGCGCATTAACCCATTTACACGGTAAAACGGGATGAAAATTAAATATTAAATTTCCTTGGGATGATGATGTGATATGAAAACATAAGCGCGACATACAGCGGAGGCGTCCGTCGCTATCGCCCTTGATTCATGACTTATCTTCGTTATCTCGACAGGTTCAGGCATCATTGTACCGCTCCTATCAGCTGGGCGAATCTCTCCATACATCGTTAACTTCGTCGACGGTGGAGTTCTCGGAACTAAATTTGGGAGTTTTACTGAATTTGCTTTCAAATTATTGCTTTTAACAAACTTTAAACTTATCATGGGTCCCAATTGTATTTTTGTGTAAAGGACTTTCTTGTAGGCTAGGGCTTTGGGAACGTTTGCTAAGCTATTTCAAGACGCGCCATCATGGCAGGAGGCTGATTCTATTGCTGCAAATTCCAGTAAATATGGGAAATGCGGCTGCATTTTACTCCAAACTTTGTTGCAAGTCTCATTCTGACCTCTACTCTGCAATAGAACGTTTCTTTGAACTATCTCCTTCGTCAACTTCATTTTACACGTCTGCAGCAAAGCAGAGCTCAAAACTATTCAAATGAAAGGCATTTCAGTAATTTGTTAATTCAATATCAAGATTTTATTAAATTCAATGCATTGTCAATGAAGGGAAGAAAATATACTTGTGGTAATAATACACTATAATACACCATCCAATACACCATACAAACTATAATACACCATCACTTTAAATCGTATCAAATCTGCTTCTTCATTCCAGCATTGGTTACATTAGAATATAAGGTACATTATGTCATAGAGGGTTAATTGGACGCATATAAATGTTAAATGTGCCCTGAGCCGAGTACAGACGATCAAAGTAAGACATTGCATGCCTAAAATTTCCGTATATTCGTACTGTTGAAAGTGAAATGCTGCATTCATGCCAGCCGCCGCGCCCAGAATTAGCGTTTCGGCAATAATGGTGGCGAGCTAAGCTGCAGAGACTGATGATCTCATTTACTGGGCGAGATGTAAAAGCTCTTATTAGATTTTACTGAAAATTCTCCCTTGGATCCTTAAAATTAATTAGAAGATTGGGAACCTTATTATGTCACCGCGTGGGAAAAATTGGGAATGCACTACTAATTACGCTATATTCCACACTGCTAGCGGACTCTGCATGAAATGACAGTCTATAGGCTACATTATTATCTTGCTCTAGAATTAATATGATTAAAATTTAAATGAAATTAGGGTGTGGCAATATCTCACAATTAAAATTCATTACCGGATATAGAATGCTTATTGATTTTCTTCTTAGGTAATTGGATAGCAGAAACGAAGAAGGCAGTTTAACTCCTAATAACTTTAAAGTGTTAATCACAAATTATTGAACACATGAGAAAAACAAGGAAAGAAAGCACGATAGATACGACGTTAAAGAATATTGACGAAGGCGATCTAGGATGAATGAGTACAAATTTAAGTACTGTGAATCTATGGGTACACATCCAGACATGTTGAACTTTCGATGCGTAAAATTGAACTAACAACAATAAAAATTTTACGCATTTAAAGGTCTGCCAGCCAAAAAATGGGATTTATAACAGGATCCGGTAAAACATGGCAAGATAAGGAATCTTGAATATTTTTAGTGTTCACAGCAATTTTGTTACACTAACTAGTGAGACTTGAAAAGTCTGGCAGCCATACAAGCTTGGTAATCAGCCAAGTAATTTTCTTTCCCGTTCCAGTAGCCATTCTAAATAATAAGTCTAATTTTGTCTCTGACTTCCACACTACTGCAGATGCGCAATGCCGTGCAATGGCTGTCAAATAAAGCGAATGCATTAACTTGGATCTAGATGTATTTGGCTTCACTCGTGAATAATATAGTTGTGTTTTTGGCATCTGACGTCCTCTATTTGCAGGCCACCGAAACGCAGGGCAAATTTCCAAAGAAGATTCGCAGCGCCCGGGCGTGGAAACTTGGCACGAACGCCGGCCGCATGGGCGCGGCGCTGGAGGTTACTGAGGACGATGACGGCACAAGAGGTTACTGAGGACGATGACGGCACAAGAGGTTACTGAGGACGATGACGGGGCTGGAGCCAGAGGAATCGTTAGGTGATCTATGAAGGACCCCAATGAAGATGCTATCCCTGCCTTTTAGAGAAAGTTCGCACCGCACTGAATCCTAGTAATAAATTAGTAATATTGCAGTCAAGAAAGGACAAACTATTGTTACATTAAAGTTCCATCATAAATTCAATAGAATAATGCTGCAATTTTGAGTAATCTAATAAATGTTTAATATTAGTGGGAACGATGGATGCTTGAAAATAAGATTAGGTGTCAACGACGTATCTGTTATAGTCAAATGGGGTAAGACAGGATCACAGCCTTCATGGGGTAAGAAAGGACCAGCCCATGGTGTGCATTCTAATTGCACTGAATTTAATTTGACAAAAGAATATGTTAGAACAATCATTGCCTGTCATTTTAGTGTTTGTGGCAACCCTCTTCTGCAAATAATGAATTCCTGGCTAATTTTTAAAGAAAACCTATGTAAAGAAGGGTCACAAAATAGTTAACATTGTTTGGGAAATAAGCTCTGTCTAATGACAAAAAATTTTTTGGCCAGGTTTGTGGATGTAGGCAGCTAACCTCAAGTAATAGGCAACTTTTTAGACATACTAGGCATTCCTACCTGCTCCATCACTGCCTGACATGTATTCTAAAATGGGGTAAAAAAGGACCGGACATGGGGTAAGATGGGACCACTAAATGATCCTGTTTTACCACACAAGTTGACCTATCTTACCCCACAAATGGTCCTGTCTTGCCCCACAAATGGTCCTGTCTTATCCCACAGTTTATCAAGAATAGTTTTTAAAATAATATATTATTGTGTAGTACATTGAGTATTTTGGTCAAAATTTTTATCTTTTGCTCAAACTTCATTATAACTTGTTAGCTTTTTTAATTAAGAGAAATTTAGTGCACTATTTTAAATTGCATCAAAGGGATATAGAAAATAGGAATGTCTATTCCCAGTAGTGAGCTGCAGAACTATGTGCAAGATTGTCTGGGGAAAAAATCACTGTGTGAAACATGAAAAATAATTATGATCACAACTCTGTGAGGGCATGAGCTATGTTTGAAGAAGTGCACCACAATACAGTTAGCAAGAAAACACATGACGTCTGACACTTAAGTTATTATCCATTGGTTTTATTAACAATTTGAACAAATTTTCAGACAATGACACTAATGGAATATACATGAAGCATATAGCAGTGCTCTACAATGAACCAAAGCCAACGCTGCCAACCCACTATTACTATGCTTAATAAAGTTTTCTCATGACAAAAACTCCAATGTGCCTGATATTAGAGTTGACTTCCCGCAACACAAAACAGTAACAAGTGGTTGTTTAATCAAATAATGTGTTTCTAGATGGATAATATTGAATATCAGATTTGTACTTTTATTAAAAACCTTGTAACATAAGAATTACCAGTTGGTCCTTTCTTACCCCAGCCTGGTCCCATCTTACCCCAATGGGGTAAGATGGGACCAGCTCACATTTTTTAATCTGTACAGGAAAATATGCGAAACGTGTGAGTTGTAGCTTAGAAGCCCATTGCATAACTACACCTTGTGATAGGTTTAGGGTTTTTTAGTTATTCATGGTATAGATGCTACATGCTTGTTAGTGATTTTGGTCCTGTCTTACCCCATCTGACTATATAGAATATTGATTCAAACTCTAGAGCAAGCAACCTCGTAAAAACACATAAAAATATTCGCAAAAGTTGGGCCGCGGGGAAGACTCATGCCCATGCAAGTGATGCAACTTTTACAGGACAGATATAGACGGTTTGATGCAACTTGCAAGTAGTGGTGCAACAATGTTCTGTATGGACTCTGAGCAAAAGCGTGGCACTGAACTGCGGAATCGCATAGCATTGCAGCCATGGTTCAGACGGTAGATTCCCAATTATCTGAAATTGCAAATTTACCTGCCAGGTTATTCGGTAAAAGGTGGACATTTATAAATCCTCTGCAGTTTGTAATATGAGGGCACTTCTATACTTTCCTAAAATGAAATGAAATGGGCCCTGATAACAGTAGCCGATGAACCTTTATTTTGAGAGAAAAAAATTGGGATTTTGGACGTATCATTGCAACTCTTTCTAGATGCAAATTTTCTGATATAAGGTAAACCATCAAAAGATTACCAAAAGAAAAAAAGACTGATTTGGCTTGAAAAAAATTTATTTAACCGAAATATTTCAACAAAAGCAAACTTCAGCAACAAAAAGCAAACTTCAAAAGCAACAGGATAAAACACCCAACTTAATGGAAATGTGGACGTCGCCAGCTACTTTTATTGCAGTCACTCGAACTGCAGAAATAAAATGCAAGTTGAGAAGTCGTACTCGATTACATTTCGTAGACTATCAGTTGACATAGCCAAATTTTTTTTGTTTTTTTTCTTGCTGTAATTGCCATTCGACGCTGCCTGCAACAAAGAAACAAATCAAGTTTAGAAATTAAATTTAAATTTGCCAATTGCCGCCGAGTCTATCACAAATTGCTGACAGTATAACTGAAAATCCAAGCATAACTGAGACTGATTGGAAAAAAACATAGCCCCTAAATTCTCACCGGGAGGATGAGGCATAAACTCGAAGCAAATCTCGCCGTAGACGAAGGCACCAAACACTGGGGTAGTGGGGTACATCTTTCTGAACATCTCCACCTCATACGAAGGCCCGCGATGATTTTGATCCTCCTATGGACAAGCAATCACAAGTAAATTATGACTGCGAGAAATGACTGGCAAAAAACTGCCTTCAGCGCCCATTTGTCTTCGTATGAACAATATCAGTAAATTATCAGACACAATCAGTGTTATATTATGCCGGCAGCAGCAATTGCTCCAGTTTAACGCAAATGAAATTTAGCGCGTCATAAAATATACTCTAGCAGCAAAAGCATATGCCGAAATTGTGGACAGTTATTTGGGAACAAAAAATATTGCAATTAAAACGCGACTAAATTACGAAACGAAGATTCGGAACATGGACAACACGAACTGAAAAGAATCAAACGCTAAATATTTATTAAGATCTACGATACTCAACGCACTGACTCCAAACCTTTTCACAGATTCGAAGTGATAAGATTAACCAACGCAATTATTAAAGACCAATTTCGTGAGAGTAGATAATAGAGATCAGGTAATCAGTTCATACATTGATGGTATAAATATTATCAAAATAAATAACCGTTTCGCTTACCTCGACATCTTTTTCATAATGTCGTACAATGCAGGTGAAGAAGAAGGCAACGCTGGTCTTGTTCGGATCATAGAAATTAAGGAACTGCAAATAACACGAATAAGAAACGGACAACCGTAATGCATCACACATTCCTGATATCTATCCATCACATGCAGACCTAAAAAGAAATTCTCCTCAGTTCAAATAATAACTTCATGGTAACATGCCTCGTTTTGATGAGATATGAGTGAGTTCAATGGCGTAAGCAGAACGGGACTATACCGTCAAACTAATCTGACTTAGTAGTTTTTCTCGACACATACACAAAAATTTATTAATATTTTAAGAATCCACTTCAAGATTTATCTACAAAATTTTAATAAAAAATCACTGTCATAGTGATTGTTCACATTTATTCTACCTTGAAAATATAACTTAGACTTTTGTTAGAGCCGATAACTCCTTACGTAAAACAAGGCCTAAAATTTCCAAACAACCCGGCATTGATAATGTCAGCTACAGCATGGAATGATGATGCTGGGCTCAATAAGCTAAAATAAACAAAAAGAAGCCCAACCTCCTACGATTATATTCTCATGCTACATTTTTTCTAGACGCTTTCTTAAACTGAAATGACCATTAGCGTAGGGTGCGTGAGTAGTCGCATAGCAATAACAGTGTTTGGTCTACATGCGTAGATACGATATTTTCAGTAAAACTTACATAAGAAATCTCCTAAAAAATTGCCTATTTTCAAGAGCATGAGCAGCACTCGTCACCTTAGACATGGCATGACGTGTCATATCCTCTTCCTCCACCGCCGTGGAGATGACAACGCTTGCTGCCGTCACGTTTTCGCCACAAACTGCCATGCCAAGGATTCCTGAACGAGCAAATAATATAACTTTAAATGACAACTGCACATGCAAAATAAAAAAGTATAGATCTTTACACGAGCCTTTACTAAGAGCATTTGCGTCTGAAGAGATAGCAGTGCATTCTTACAGCCTTTACAAGATTATAACCATCATATCAGTTTTCACCATAGGCATCCAATTGAAAGAACAATCAATATACCTTACAGAATAAAATGCATAATAAGCAAATTTTACGGATGATAGCTTACTTTCTTCCTCCCAACACATCCACGTTGGCTGAGATTTTCCTCCCACCACAGCCACGTTGCCTTGCTCTCTGCTCAGTGAATTAAACGTGAGCCGCGAGCATGAAACTCGTGCGCTGAAATACAGAGCTTGGTAGCGCTACTTTGAAATGTAGCGTCCGCGACCGCTACATGCTCTAAATTTAGTGGGCGCTACCGCTACATCCACTAGATTGCAGCGGGCGCTACCGCTCGCGCTTCAATAAAATGTAGCGCCGCTACATTCTGTAATTTATATTAATTTATATTCTGTAAATCTGTTCTGTAATTTATATTATGTATGTATCATGCTGGTTTTTAAATAATATTTAATACTATTAAGTAAAATCTAGAGGCTTTATCTATAAATGTAGCGGTAGCGCTGTAGCGGCAAAACCTCATATCGCTACTTAAATATGTAGCGGGCGCTACCGCTACCGCTACAATTGCTTAAATGTAGCGCCGCTACCGCTACCGCCACTGAAAATGTAGCGGCCGCTACATGTAGTGCGCTACTGCCCACCTTTGTCTATATACAGGGTGTTTCAGAATTAAGTAATCCTTTTAATTTGTTAATAAATAAAAAACTAAGAACGTTATGAAGTTGAAACTTGTTTTATTTAAAAGAAGAACATTTTCATGGTAATATTGTATCATAGTT